ACCTCCAGCGCCGATCCGAGAAATCCGCGCGGACCTCCGAGTGTGTATGTTTATGCCATTGTTCGCTCCCCTATGGAGCCAGGACTGTACCTGAACGTTGTTGTTCGCGTTGGTATCGTTTATGTTGTCGCTCTTGTTTTGGTGCTCGTATTGTGCTTCGTGTTGGTTCGTGTTCCTTCGTTTTGCTCTACCTGTTTTCCTGTGCCTCCCTGCCAAAAGAAAAAAACACATGGCACCGCCGAGGCCCAGCAAACAGCTAGGGGGCCACTTGCGAACCCTACCCCTGCCCCCCACGATTTCTGAGGGGGAGGGTGGGGCTCCCTTCGCTCGGGAGCTCCTGAATAAAGTGAACCCCACCCCCACCCCTCAGAAATCGTGGGGGGCAGGGGTAGGGTTCACCTGTGGCCCCCTAACAGCGCTCAGGTCCAGCCCTGCTGGAGGCCCCCGGGGAAGGACGCGACGCAGCACGCACGGGAACGACACCGCGGGCGGTCGCGAGCGCCCCGTGGGTGCCGCGAGCGCCGCGGGGGCGCCGCGGGCGCCACGGCAGCCGACGGTCGCAGGGCATCGGAAGCACCGCCGGCACGCAGGGCGCTGCGCGGCGACTTCCCGCAACGGCTGAGGAGGCTGCTGCGCTCGGGATGCTCAGGCTCAGGGGGCCACAGGTAAACCCTACTCCTACCCCCGACGATTTCAGAGGGGGAGGGTGGGGTTCACTTCGCTCGGGAGCTCTCGGACGAAGTGAACCCCACCCTCCCCCTCAGAAATCGTGGGGGGTAGGGGTAGGGTTCACCTGTGGCCCCCTAAGGCTTTCACCTCGCGCGCGGGCTTTCGGGGCCGGGTGTCCTGCGAAGGCCCCTTGCGGCCGGGCCCGCACTGCAGCGCCGCGCGCACTCGCCCCAGGGGTTTGCAGCAGCTCCGAGGATGGAGGGCGGGCCCCTTCCACGTGCAGCTCGCGCCTCAGCGTCGCGCCGCCGTAACGGTTCGCAACAGCGCCAGAGATGGAGGGCCGCTTTCAACGTGTAGCTCACGCCTCAGAGCCGCACATATTCGACTTAAACGCTCGCCAGAGCTTCAAGGATGGAGGGCGATTCTTCTTGAAAATGTTGATCTCGCCTTCGCGCCACGTACACTCGCTTGAAGCTTACAGCTGGTTCAAGGACTCGGATGGCTCAGTCCCAAGAGTGGTGCTCTACCAAGATTTAGGATTTCCCGGACGCAACAGTCATGTTGGTTCGCGGTGCTGGAATCCCAAGAATAATGTTCTGGCAGGCTGTAGGATTGTCAGGGCGTAACAGTCATGCTCATTCGCGGCACTGGTGTCTCAGGAATGGTGTTTTGCTTGGTAAGGTTGACGATTTTCAAACGGTTATTTTCCAATGGGGTACTTCCCCCAATGGGGTACTTCCCCCTATTAAGTAAGAGAAAGGGGAAGGAGGGATTACTACAACATCGCTTCCGCGTCTCTGGTTTACACTGGTCATCCTCGACCTCCTCTTCCCTCTCCTCCTCCTCCTCCTCTTACTCCTTCTTCTCCTCTTCGCCCCCGTCCCCCTCCCTCACCTCCCCCCTCACCCTGCCCTCCCTCTTCTCCTCCTCGTCGTGATCCTCCTCCTCCCCACCTCCTCCTCCTCTTCCTCCTCCTTCTCTGCCTTCTCTTCCTCCTTTTCTTCCTCCTCCTCCTCCTCCTCCAATATGTTCCCTTATATTACCCATCCCTGTCGCACCCCCGCACGTGTCGCCAGGCCGGGCGTTTCGCCTAAGACTTCCTGGAGCTTGAAACAACAGCTTCACGGATGGAGGGCGGGTCCTTTTCATCATGTGGCTCTTGTTGTACGGCCGCGCGCATTCGTCTTACAACTTTGCAACAGCTTCAAGGGTGAGGGAAAGGTGGTTTTCAAAACGTGGCTCTCGCCTGATCCACCGCGCACATTCGCCTTGACGCAACAGCTTCATTATGTGGTTTTCGCCTTGGCGCCAAAGCCAGTCATCTTACAAATTGCAAGAATTCACTGGTTCGTACGGTTACAGCCCCAGGATTTGTTCCCCGGTACGGTTTCAGATTGTCAGGACGCACCAGTGACTTTGATTCGCGGCGTTGGAGTCCTTGGAATTGCATCGTGGGTGGCTGAGGACTGTCAGGACGCAACAGTCATTGTGATCCACGGCTTTGAAGTCAGACATGGTCGCACTGGCACGATTGAGGATTATCCGACGGCTGTCTTCTAACAGTCCACTTCCCGTAACGCAAATCCACCGACACTGTCGGCGTGTGTGGGGTGTCTGTCCGGTCCCGTCGACGGGGAGCCTTCTTTCGTCATCTCCTTCCCATCCTCCTCTCCCGTCGGGGGAGAGAGAGAGAGAGAGAGAGCCCCCTCCCTCGTTCGGGGAACGGGTTCGCAGCTTGAGGGAATTCCGTCCACGTCCTATTACGTCGAAAGGAAGCCCCTTCACTTTGTCGCTTCTCCGGCGGGGGGGGGGGATCCTGGGGGAGGGGGGGTCAGATTCGCAACGCCTCTGAAGGTCCTTATCTCCCACGCCGGTCCTTCTCCCGCGCGCCAGTCCTCCTCGGGTCCTCCTTCCCAGGTGGGGAGGGGTCCCAGGGGGGGCCGGAGTCAGATACGCATCCGTCCCTGGGAGTCCTCTTCCCCCTCCCCTCCCCTCTCCCACGCCGGTCCTCCTCCAATCCTCTTCTCCAGGTGGAAGGGGGTCCCAGGGGGGAGTCCTTTTCCTCCTCCTTTTCCTCCTCCTCCTCCTCCTCCTCCTCCTCCTCCTCCTCCTCCTCATCTCCGCCTCATCCTTCTCCTCCTCCTCCTCGCTCTGCTCCTCCCCCCCTGGTCGTCGTCGATGTGTTTCAGGGTCGGCGGCACCAGCCGTCAGGCCTTCACAAAACGTTCCTGTAGCGAGCGATATGCAGAGGGACCTTGGAGGACGAATGTATGGCAACATCGTTGATGCGTCTTGGATTTACACTTGTCCTCCTCCTCCTCCTCCTCCTCCTCCTCCTCCTCCTCCTCCTCCTCCTACACCTCCTCCTCTCCTCAACTTCTCCATCGCCATCTACATCAGCAGCATTCGTCATCATCCCCAGCGCCAACACAGTCATCAGCAGCACCGTGATCACCACCACCACCATCACCGCAAGCATCATCCCCACCACCACCACCACCACTACCATCCCCACCATCACCACCATCACCACAATAATGTCAACCGTCGGGATATGAGTAAACGACACTATCGTCGTCATCATCATCACCACCACCATCATCATCAGCACCACCATTATTAGCAGCAGCACCAGCATACAGCACCAGCATCACCATCATCATCGACAACAGCGGCATCACCATCATAATGATCATCATGACCTTGATCATCATCAGCATCATCACCGTCATGATCATCATCAGCAGCATCAGCATCATCATCATCGTCGTCGTCGTGGTCGTGGTCGTAATCGTCGTCATCGACGTCGTCGTCATCGTAAGTGTCATGGTAGCGTCGTCATCATCGCAGCCACCATCATCAGCTGCATACCAGCATCATCAGCATCAGCATCAGCAGTAGCACCATCGTCATCGTCATCGTCGTCGTCAAAGAGCAATCATCGCCAACGCAAACGTCATCCTCCCCATCGCAATCAGAATCATCAGCAGCAGCATCAGCATCAACAACATCATCAGCAGGAGCACCAGAATCGTCGTCGTGGCCCGCATCATCAGCATTAGCATCAGCAGCAGCATCATCGTCATCGTCGCCATCATCAGCAGCAGCATCATCATCACGATCATCATCATCATCATCATCATCATCATCATCATCATCATCATCATCATCATCAGCATCATCAGCATCATCATCATCATCATCATCATCATCATCATCATCATCATCATCATCATCATCATCACGATCATCATCACCATTATCATACTCAATAGTAGTCATCAACCCCATCATCATCACCACAATATTCAGCGTCTGTTCCAACAGCATCAGCATCAGCATCGGCATCGGCATCAGCATCAGCAGCAGCATCAGCATCATCAGCATCATCAGCATCGCCATATGTATATCCATCAGTACCTGCATCACCATCATCATCATGATCATCATCATCATCATCAGCAGCACTATCATAATGATCACCACCACAAGCCATCATCATTACCACCACAGTCATCACAATCATCATCATCATCGTCAGCATCAGCATCATCATCATCATCATCATCATCAGCATCATCATCAGCATCATCATCATCGTCATCACCAGCATCAGCATCATCATCATCCTCATCATCATCAGCATCATCATCATCTTCATCATCATCTTCATCATCATCATCGTCAGCATCAGCATCAGCATCAGCATCAGCATCAGCATCGTCATCACCAGCATCATCATCAGCATAATCAGCATCATCATCAGCATCAGCAGTATCACAATCATCGGCATCATCATCATCATCATCATCATCATCATCATCATCATCATCATCATCATCATCATCATCGACATGATGACCACCATCATCACCATCACCATCGTCATCCTCGTCGACGTCACCGCCATCGCCCTGTTCCTCCGTCTGCCCCCGTCCTGCCCTCCTTTGCCAGCGCTTTCACGCATCATAGGTGCCTGCGAACTAGCCAAAGAGGTGAAACCAAGTCTCTGCTGAAGCTGACACCGCAGAAGAGAGAGAGAGAGAGAGAAACAATGATTCGAGGAAACTAGGAAGAAGGAAGGAGGAGGGTTCTGCCCGTGCCCTGACCCCCCCCTTTACAGTAGGAGCTCGACCATAAGAAACCTTCCACAAGAAACCAGACCCTGGAACCCAGGACGTCCATTGATGTTTGGAGGGGGGACGTCACGCTTTGCATCGCAAAGCCATCGAAAACCACGAGACCCCGGCACCCTGGAGGCAAGCAGGGCGTTTCTTGGCATGGGCTTCCGCTGTAGTCCCGCCGCCTCCCCAGCAACGCCCCCGCCCGGCTCCTGGGCCACGGCCATGACCCTCTGCGGGTTCTTCTCCATGAGCCCGGCCTGCCGGCACCACGGGCGGGCGGGCACGGAGGTGGCGGTGCGTGGGGGCAGACCAGACTCTGGAAGGGGGGGGGGAGGAGGGAGGGAAGGAGGAGGAGGAGGAGGAGGAGGAGGAGGATGAGGAGGGGTAGGAGGAGGAGGAGGAGGAGGAGGAGGAGGAGGGGCAGGAGGAGGAGGAGGAGGAGGAGGAGGAGGAGGAGGAGGAGGAGGAGGAGGGTGGACGGGCAGGACTCGGGATCCAAAAGTGGCAAGGACATCACAGGCGACACGCCTGGCCAGGCTGACCGACACGCCTGCGCGTGCGACGGGGTGGAGTTGACTATATGTTAGGGGGAGGGGGAGGGGGAAAGGGAGGATGGAGGAAGCAGGAGGGGGAGGAGAAGGGGGGGAGAAAGGGGATGGAAAAAATGATGGACCCACGAACCCGGAAAGGGATATGGACATGTGCAGCATGGTCACGTTTTCACGATATCCAACTGGGCGACACCTCACGAAACATCCCACGAGACACCCCGCGAAACATTCCAGGAGACACCTCACGAAACAACCCACGAGACACCTCACGAAACATTCCACGAGACACCCCCACGAGACACCCCACGAACAGGCAACCACTCAACCAGACACCCCACGAAACATTCCACGGGGGTGCGACTGGGTGTGGTCGTGCTGGGGTGTGGTGTGCTGGAGTATGGTGTTGGGGGTGGTCGTGCTGGGGTGGTCGTGCTGGGGGGTGGTCTGCTGGGGTGGGTGCTGGGGGGGTGGTCGTGCTGGGGGGTGGTCGTGCTGGGGCGTGGTCGTGCTGGGGCGTGGTCGTGCTGGGGTGTGGTCGTGCTGGGAAGTGGTCGTGCTGAGGTGGCCCGCACCCTGTGATTTATCGATCGGGATTTCAAAAACAAGCGTTTCGCCTGAGACATCCTCAAAGTTTAATTCGCCGGCCTCCTTCGACCTCGATATTTATCAGGGAAAAATTTCGCCGGCCTCCTTCAACTTGGGCACCGGGGACATGTTTACATAGAAAAAGAGAACCCTGGGCCCGCGCCCTTTCCGGGAACAGGAAAATGATAATGGAACATGCTCCCTCCCTAACCGCGAGGGGGGGCGGACCCGGCAAAATGGCCACGCCACACGCGCCCCCTGCCCCCTGGGATCCCGCCTTCCCCCAAGCGCAGGGGAGGCACCAAGTAGGGCCCACCCCATCCCCACCCCCACCCTCTCCAGGCGAACTCACCCTTCACGCATCTTCTCCTCAGTACGGACCGCGACCAACTCCGTCTGGCAGAGAAGAGGAGCAACGCAGAAAGGTGCACGGTCACCGCAACGAAACGCGGACCTCTGACCAGCTCCGCGCAGCTGAGAAAGTCAGACGAATTCACGCCCTTCACCGCGTCGATGGCCTTGCAAACTGGGGCAGCCTGGATGTCCTGCGTCATCGACTCCCCAGTTTCTCCACGCCGCGGCCAGCAAGGGCGGCAGCAGGAATGGCCCACCAAGCCATCGCTCCGAAGGCTGCGCCGCTTACAATCGCGCCCGCGAACCTCGGCCACCGCGCTCCTAGGGGAAACGGCTGAAAAGAGGACGGGGAGGAGGAGGGGGAGGAGGAGGAGGAGGAGGAGGAGGAGGAGGAGGAGGAGGAGGAGGAGGAGGTGAGGCGAGGAGGAGGAGGAGGAGGAGGAGGAGGAGGAGGAGGAGGAGGAGGAGGAGGGGGAGGGGGGGGGAGAGGACTTGGACGAGGGGGAAGGGATGATGATGAGGGGGAGGGGACGAGGAGGAAAAACAGGAGGAGAGGATTAGGACGGGGGGAGAGGAGGAGGAGGAGGAGGAGGAGGAGGAGGAGGAGGAGGAGGAGGAGGAGGAGGAGGAGGAGGAGGAAGAGGAGCAGGAAAGGAGGAGGAGCTGGACGAGGGGATTGGCAGGGGGCGGAATTCAGCGGCTATCTCCGCGCCCCCTCCCCCTCCCGGCCATGCGGAACAGCGGTTCCAGGCGCAGGCGCGGCTTGAGCACCGTGGTGTCCCTGTCCACTATGATCAGGTACTTGTGTTTCTTGATCAACTGCGGGGGGGAGGGGTTGCCCACTTCCTACTCGTCATTATACTCGCCCTCGTCATCATTATCAACCACGTCATCATCAGCATACTTGTCATCGCAGTCATGGCCAGCAACAGCATCAGCTCCCGTCTCCTGTTCGTGCTCTGCCTCATCCTCGGCATATTCCTCCAAATCCCATCCTATCCCTGCTCCTCATACCCCTCCGTCTCTCCTTGTTCCTGCGTCCCGTTCTCTCTCCCTCCGTCCATCTCCCTCCTCGTCCTCCTCCCGCCCGTCGATGTGGCAAGAACCTTCTGGTCCGCCACCCCGTTCCCCTCATCCATGTCCCGTCCCTGGTCCCCCCCTCCTCCCCGCCTCCTCCTCTGCGGCCCCCCTCCCCGCTCCCCCTCCGTGCACTCCCCCGTTCACGCTTCGGAGCCCGCGCCTCCTGCCCTCGAGCGAGAAGCGAAGAGGGAGGGAGTGGCGGGAGCGGAGGAGGAAAGGGGAATGGGGGAAGGGGAGACGGAGGGGTCACCAGAGGCCCCAGAAGGCTTCTGCATGTCTCCAAACGTCCCTGAAGGTCCCCAGAGGCACCCACGTCTCTGGAGGCCCAACCAGGCCCGCAGCGTTCAACAACGCTGACCCTGGATCCTCGATCCCAGATTCATGTGTGATCTTCGACCCTCTGGATCCTCTGGATCCTCGGTCCTCAATCCCAAGTCCTCCCGGAAGAGGCTGAGCGCCCCCCCGCCCCGACGGCGTCCCGCCCGCTCTCGCCCGTCGTCGCCGTCGCCGCCGCAGTCGCCCTCGCCGCCGCCGTCGTGGTCGTCATCGGCGCCGACATTGTCGCCGCCATCATCGTCGCCGCCGCCACCGACGGCGTCATCGTCGTCGCAGCCGCCAGCGTCGTCCTCGTCGTCGTCGCCGCCGCCATCGTCGTCACCGCGGGCGCCGACGCCGCCGTCGTCCTCGACGGACGCCTCTCCCGCCAGCCACGGGCCCCGGCGGAGCTCCGGCGGGAGGGGAGGGCCGCCGCCTGCATGGCCATGCACGGCTTGGTCCACGCCCCGTGCCGCTCCTCCACGCGGACAGGCCCGCGGCCAGAGGAAGGAGGGAGAGGGGGAGGGAGCACGGGGAGAAGGAGGAGGAGGAGGAGGGGGAGGGAGAGGGGGAGGACGGGGGGGAGGTGGGGGAGGGGGGGGAGGACGGAGAGGAGGGTGGGGAGATGATCGAGACGAGGGAGGAGGGGGAGGAGGGAGAGAAGGGGGAGGGGGAGGAAGGGGAGGGGGGAGGAGGGGGGGGAAGGGGGGGGGAGGCGGGGGAGGCGGACGGGGAGAGGACTCGGAGGGGGGGAGGAGGCATGCGGAGGGGAAGTGGGAGGGACGGGGGAGGAGCGCCACGGGAGGCGCGACGAGAAACCACGGCGCCGTGGCGAGGCCCGCAAAACTCCGCGGTGCCGGCGGCCGCCACCGCTGTGCCTCGACGCCCGGGCCTGCACCCAGGGCGAGCACCAGCGTCTGAGCGCTGGGCCGAGGCACCGCGGGCGCCGCACGGGGCTCAACGGGGAACCCAGAGAGAGAGAGAGAGCAAGAGAGAGAGAGAGAGAAGCAAAACAACTAAGAATTTCGATGTGTACATATATAAAATACCCACATGCTTATGCATTTCCCCACCGCAAAGCATACCACAGAGCAGTCATGCACGTCAGAGGTGCGTTGGCAAGATGGTGAAACGATCCACCATAATTCACTTCTGGCGCCAGGTTGGCCACTCGTGGCCACTGGACGTCCTCGAACGAAGAGTGGCGAAACTACGGAAACGAGTACTCTGGGTGCCAGTGGAGGGAGCCCCAACGTAGGCCAAAACTGATGACGATGAGCAGCACTGCATCACCACGATCCCCAACAGGATCGTGATCTCGAGCCAGCCACCACTCTCTCACATCGGCAACTCCGGGCCGCAACCGCTCGGCCATTACATTCAGAAACTCCGGGGGCACCCGGGACAGTTGACCAACGCATCGCTCTGCTTATGTTGCTCCCATCGTACTTAAAGACCACGTCCAAGAGATAATTTCGAGCACCCGGAAAAGTGTCGAAAGAGTGTCGAAACAGTGTCGGACGAGTGCCTCCCAGGGCCCGACACGTGAAAACCCTCGAGTTTCGGTACGTTGTTGGTGCTCGATTTCTTTTCTGGTGATCCAGATCAAAGTAGGTTGTAACACCATAATGCTCTGCTCGAAGCACTTGCTTTCGCACATGTTGCAGGATTTGTAGGTAGTACTCCTCATCGCCCTGCCCCGTTTGGATGGTCAGCTCATCTCAGAATGCACTCCCTGACTCCCTGAGCGGCCATCAGAAAAATTCGCGCGCCTTCAGGTCCGCACTGCCGCGCGCCAGCGTCAGGAGGGGGTGGAGAGAAGGAAGGGAGGAGGTTGGGGGGTGCAGACACATGATTCCTAATGGTGAAAGCGCAATGCTCGTAACCCTGGGACGCACAATCCTGCGTGGAGGAGGGGAGGTGGGGAGGAAGAGGGAGGGAAAGGAAGGGGGGAGGGGAGGGGAGGGGAGGGGGAGGGAGAGAGAAGGATTGAAGGGGGGAGGGAGGGGGAGGGGGAAGGACCAGAGCAGAGCAGGACCGATGCTCCGATGAAGCGCGACTGGCTCTTGGACCTCTTGGACAGCCAGAGCCACCCAGAAATTTGCAGAAATTCGGACGCAGCGTCAGGAAAGAGGGGGAAGTCAATGGCGGGTCGCGGGCTAAAAAAATACCTCTGGCCAAAAATGTCTTATCATACGGGTGAAAAATAATTGCCAAACAAACACGATGTCCGGCCCCCTGGGCGCGATCCGTGTGAGGAGTGTGCCGAACTTGGCGTCTGGACGCCGGCTCACCTGGCCACCTGGGAGCCAACCAGCCAACCAACCAACAAGCCAAGCGGCCCTTCCGGGTGCATTCTTTGAGGATTTCCCACGCCGCTGGGCCCAGAACCATTTTCTGACCTAGCATGACCGCGGGGTGAGGGAAGGGAGGAAGGAGTGTGACGGAATTAAATGGAATGGACGGAAGGTGAGCGTTTTTTTATTCGGCGTTTCGACATTGGGCGGAAAGGGGGGGGAGGGGGGGTCTGGCTCCAGACCTCTGCATAGTACGACTGTTTGCACCAGTGCGTCCTATGGGAGAGGCTCCACCTGCCTGAAACGGGCGCCAGAAACAGCCAAGATCTATTGAAGGGGGAGGGGAGGTGGGGGTGCGAGGGCCCGCGCCGATCAGCAAAAAAACGCCCACAATGGAATGGGAGGAATGGGTGCATTGGGATGGCGTGGAAGGGGATGGGATGGGATGGGATGGAGTGGAATGGAATGGGAGGCACGCGCGGAGGGGCGAGCGGGTGGGCGGGCGAGCGGGCGTGAAGCGCGCGGGCGGGCGCACTGTGCTGTTTTGTGCTGTACTGCAATGCATTGCGCTGCGTTGCGCTGCGTCGAATTGCACTGCAGTGCACAGCAGTGCATTGCATTGCACTTCATTGCATTACATTGCGTCCTGTTTCGTTGCACTGCATTGCACTGCGTTGCATGTGCACTGCAGTTGCAGTACACTGCATTGCGGTAGATTGCGGGCGAGGGGGAAGAGGGGAGGGAGAGGGGGGAGGAGGGAGGGGGGGAGGAGGGGAGGGGGAGGAGGGAGGAAGAGTAGTACACTTAATTGCAGTGTGGAGGGAGGAGGGGGGAGGAGGGGAGGGGGAGGAGGAAGGAAGGGGGATGTAGGAGGGAGGATGGATGAGGGAGGAGGAGGGAGGGAGAAGGACGATGAAGAGGATGGGATAGTATTCTTGATCGCCTCCCTGGGCCCCAAGAGACAACAATCGCACCATTCGCTTTGAAAAACGTACATGTTTAGCACACTCGCCTTTTTCGTCTTGACAGTTTCTAAGACTGTCTAATGGAACCCTGATCGTCACAAGACGGCTGATCAGGCCCCGAAGAGGGCCCGAAGACGGCCCAAGAGGGCCCTGAGACAGCCCCTGGCTGGAGCCTCCTGGGCCTCGTCCTGAGACTGCCTGCCAGGACAAGGCGCCGGCGAGAGCCGCGAGGGTGGCACGTGGGTGGGGGGGGGGGGGAAACAAAAAAAAAAAAAAAAAAACGCGGCTCCTCGCAGGGAGCCCAGCTGGACAGAAGTACCTCCCAAGAAACCTCGCGGCCAGTGGCCCTTCGCAAAGGGCCAGGCCCAGCAGACGCCCGCGTCCTGGGAGCGCGGCGCGCTCGCGCCGCCGCGTCGCGGGCGCCTGGAGACTCACGGATTCACAGCAGAGCTGGGCCGAGCGGCGCGACGCACGACCCGATGCCAACACGCGCGACCTGGGCTTCCGAGCGCGGTGCCTCCGAGATCGACTGCACACCCTCTCGCCCCGGGAGCCACGCGCTGGCACAGGGGACCTCGCCGAGAGGTGCTGCCGCCGCTCCGGAGCAAGCGAGCCGGCACGCCGAGAGCCGCTCGCCAGCAGGGCAGGAGGAGGAGGAGGAGGAGGAGGAGGAGGAGGCGCGCAAGCGGAAGGGAGTGGATGAGGCGAGCAAGCGCGGGCCTGCTCCACGTGATTTCCTGTGCCAGAAGCGAGTGCACGCTTCGCAAACGCACCCAAGAGAACTCCAAGTTGAGGCCCCTGAGAGGCATCCCCCGAGCCCCTCAGATTCTTCGGAGAGGCTGCCGACCCACATCCCAGGCACGGTGGCGGGTCGGGCCGAAGGCCACTAGACCTGGCCCGGCACAGAAACGGAAGGAGCGCTGCAGAAACAGAAACCGGAATTACTCACACCACCGTTCGTACTGGGAGCCTTGGCGTTGAGAGCTTGTTACGTCACCCCTCGCTCTTGGGAGCCTTGGTGTTCAGAGATTGTTGCGGTGCCGCCCGTTCCTGAGCCTTGGCTGGGCCTTGTTGTCAGGAATTTGATACGTCACCGCTCTCTGCTGGGAGCCTTGGTCTTATCAGCTTGTTTACGTCACCGTTCGCTCTTGGGAGCCTTTGTGTGAAGAGCTTTTTGCGCTACCGATCGCTCTCTATTTGGCGTCTCTGGGCCTTCTTGGGAGTCCTATTGGGGCCCTTTTCGGGCCCTTTGGAGGCCTCTTGGGAACCTCTTGGGGACCTCCTGGGGCTTCTTGAGGGGCTTTGGGGACCTCCTGGGAGCTTCTTGGGGCGAAAGGCTAGACTTTTCGGTTCGTGGTCCCCCTCTTGGGGCCGTCTTGGGGCCCTCTTGGGCCGTCTTGGGCGCCTCTTGGGCCGTCTTGGCGCCCTCTTGGGCCGTTTTGGGGGCCTCTTGGGAGCCTCTTGGGCCGTCTTGGGGCGGTCTTGGGGGCCTCTTGGAGCGTCTTCAACGCATTGAAAGCCGAAAAGCCTTGTCTTCTAAAAATGTACCTTTTGCCATAGGAAATCAATGATTTTCGCCTCCCGGTGGCTTCTTGGGACGCCTCTTGGGGGCCTCTTGGGGCTTCTTGGGGGGCTCTGGGGGCCTCCTGGGAGCGTCTTGGGGCGAAAGGCTAGACTTTTCGGTTCGTGGTCCCCCTCTTGGGGCCGTCTTGGCGCCCTCTTGGGCCGTCTTGAGCGCCTCTTGGGCCGTCTTGGGGCCCTCTTGGGCCGTTTTGGGAGCCTCTTGGGAGCCTCTTGGGCCGTCTTGGGGCGGTCTTGGGGGCCTCTTGGGCCGTCGTCAACGCCGTGAAAGCCGACAAAGCGCATATGCTAAAAATTCGCCGGCCCAACGGGCCAGAGGCGTGCTAAGATCTCCGGTAACTGCTAAATAGTACTTCTACTTCGCGCGCGCGGGGCGGCCCCTGGGGGTCCCCGGACGAAAAGTACCCTGGGCGATCCCCGGCAGACTCGGGTCAGAGATGGTTTTCCTCCTGGGCGCCGCCCCCGTGGCCCTCCAGAGAGCCCCAAGAAGGGCCACGAGGCCGCCAAGAGCCCTCCAAGATGGTTCAAGAGTGCTCCGAGATGCCACACGATCGTTCCAAGACGCCCAAGATGGTCCCCAGACGCCCCAAGAGGCCTCCAAGAGCACTCCCCAGAGGGCCCCAAGAGGCAAAATT